AGTTGCAAATGAATCAGTGTTCTTATAAATATTATAGCTTGTAAAATCTTTCTTAAATGGGTTCCAAGCCCTTCTTGCCCTTTAATGCATTCTGTATCAAAAACAAAAATATTTGCAGGTATATCTAATGATACATAATTGTTATTTTGGTTTCAATTGGTTTGCAGAAAAAGGTGATGGAGGTTCGAGAACAACTTAGAAGAATATTACAGAGATTAGGATTGGCTTTAAAGTCTTCTGATGGAGATATGCAGGTAAGCGTGTGATGTCGCTAATATTAAGGTAGTTTCAGCAGTAAGATTACTTCTCTCTCTGAGAGAACTTCCTACACAGGATTACTTCTCTCATAGAAAAGATTATTCATGTTTATGTGATGGTGTGTAATAGTTTTTTTGATGTGTTTGGAACTAAAAATGAATGTTTGATTCCTTTTATGAGTTCCTCACTTTTCAAGTATTAAAGTCTTCTCAAGCATCCAAAATAGGAGAAAGATATCTTTTTGATTGTCTCGTGCTTGAGTACATGGTGAAGGACTTCTGGTTATGACCTTTATGAAAGAAAACTAAAAGTAGTTGGACCAGCTTCAATTTTAAACAAGTTTTCCTTTGTTTAACTTCAGATGATCTCTGTTCTCTTTTGCTTCAACTAATACAAGAGTTATGTTTCTGTGTTAAAGAAAGGGTAAATTAAGTTGAAGGGTATAGAAGTAAATTACACTTTTTGTAATTAATTATAATTTATTATCTATTTTATTTTTTATTGTAGAAAATCTGCATATGTATGCCGTAACATTCAATAGAATACATACTAAATAATTCTTAACATGGTATTAGAGTATTAGGTTAAAGAAATTCTAATATCACTTACAAACTCTATTTCGGTCTTTATTGCCGAAATAGAAAAGAAAAAACCTAAAAGGATTAGATTAACCTTCATAGCAGATCATTCTAGATCGGCCACCAGCCATCCCTGCCGGCCACCAGTAACAACTAAACTGGCCTTCATTGCCAGTGTCAGAACCTTCAGCTGCACTGCCTGACAGAGTCGCCCTGCAGAAAGATGCAACCTCAATACCAAATCCAGATGCGACCCTTTCTGCACCATTGTCACTTGTCACAATGCCACCTGCCGTGACGAGATGCAGACACGACCCTCTCATAATCAGCCATAGTCACGAGCAGACAAAGATGCGACCTTCTCTGTCGTGACACCATCTTCCAGATATGACCAGACATGGATAGCGGATAGACTCGACAAGATTCAACCATGAGCATGACCCGATAGTGAACGCGACCCGACCACAAACACAAACTGCAATGCTAGTGCTTTTCTGCCGCAACCAGATCCGACCTCAACTAGATCACACCACCAGAATGCGAGCTTCTCAGCAGCGAACCAATCACAGCCCAGATGTGTGTTGCGAACCTCTCTATCATGAAGGGGTTATTTTTGTTATGCATTTATTAGTACTAGCGGGGAGTTCCTATTTTATTTACTTGGATATATGTAACAAGGTAGAAAGTTAAGAGGCAACGTTTGTGCGATAACTCAGAGTCTTGC